CTTGAGTTTTGTGCAGAAGAGTGACAGGATCTAACTTACAGAGGAGAACTTCACTGTGGTTGCTATGTTAAGAGTAGATTGTGAGCAGGCAAGGTAAAGCAGAAAGACTTGCTAGGAAGCTATTGAACTAATTCAAGTGACAGATGATGGTGATTGGTGAGTAATTCAGGTGAAGAGTTTCTGGCAAAGGTAATAAAAAGTGGTGGAGATTATATATATCTTGAAAGTAGAAACTGCAGAATTTGCTGGGTGATGGTAGATTGCCATCTCTATGAAAGAGAGAGCTCAAAAATGTTTACAAGTCTTTTGAGCCTGAAAACCAAAGTGAAAGATTTACTGATGTAGGAAAGATCTATGGGAATAGACAAGTAGAGGAGAGATGGGAAGATCAGAAGCTAGATTTGAGGCAACTTTACTTGCAGAAGTCTAAAAGACACATCCAAATGGTGACAGAGTTGGCATTTGATTAAACAAATTCAGGAAAGAGATCTGGACTATACATATGCACTTTGACGCTGTTAATTTATAGATGAAAATCTATGAGACTGAATAAAATTCCCGCAAATGTGAAAGTATATAGAAAAGAAAGAAGTCGGAGCTCAGTCTTATGGTAGCCCTAACATATTAAGTCTAAAGGGATGAGGGAAAATGGGAGAAAACAGTCAATAAAGTGGGAGATAAATCAGTAAATGTATTCTTCTGGAAGCTAGATGAAGAAAGTAAAGAAGTGAGTACCCATGCCAAAAGCTGGCAATTAGATCAAATAAGATGAAGACTGAAAATTGACTATTGGTTTAGCAATATAATAAATATTTCCTCTCACTGGGGAGAAGAAGCAAATGATTAAACCGACAGCCAGACAAGTTGCCTTACTTAGTGCTCCTTACATAACCCTGGCTCCCATCATTTTCATGAACTAATCTGGTTTTTTAAATTTTTTATCTTGTTTTATTATGCTACAGTAATCAATTCCTTATGTGTGTGCCTTGTCCGATTTCCATGTTAATATTTTCTTTTTTAAAATATATTTTATTGATTTTTTTTCAGAGAGGAGGAGAGAGGGATAGAGAGCTAGAAATGTCGATGAGAGAGAAACATCAACCAGCTGCCTCCTGCACACTCCCTACTGGGGATGAGCCTGCAACCAATGTACATGCCCCCGACCAGAATTGAACCTGGGACCCTTCAGTCCTCAGAACGACTCTTTACCACTGAACCAAACCGGTTTGGGCCCATGTTAATATTTTCAAGTGACTTTTACAAAAAATTTGTGAGGGATATAAGTAAATTTTATTATCATTATTTTGTAGAACATAGTTTGTAGAGAAAATCAATTCAGCCCAGGACTTCTGACTATTAGAACCTTACTCTGCACCTTTAATTCCCATAAAAAGAGAGGCTGATGCTTCCTTTTTTTTTTTTTTTAATTGATTTCAGAGGGGAAGGGAGAAGGAAGGAGCAATAAAAACATCAATGATGAGAGAGAATTCTTGTTTGGCTGCCTCCTGCACACCCTCTACGGGGGATGGAGCCAGCAACCTAAGCATGTGCCCTTGACCAGAATCAAACCCGGTACCCTTCAGTCCTTAGGCTCTATCCACTGAGAAAACTGGCTAGGGCTGATGCTTCCTTTCTTGTTTTTTGGACCTTTCTTGATGCATTGCTTAGTTCTTTTCATACCTTCTATTTATTCTTACTTAATCCCTTAAATTTTGGTCCCTGGATTTTTTTGAACAGCTGCACACCATGACCTTTAAGGACAAATATCAGTATGACTTTAGAGCTTCTTGGAATTTAGACTTCTGCCAGGCTCCAAATCCAGAAGCTAGTTTTTATATCCTCTCATCTCCCAGCCTTTCCTACAGGATTTACTTCCTCTTAGCATAGGAAAAAAGCTGGGTAAATGGTCAGCACTGTACCATTAAACATGCATCTACCATTCTCTGTTACAAAGATGAGAATTACAGGGTCCAACATCCAAGTACCCAATAAATCTTGTGATTGTGATCTCATATATTATCACAGTCTATGTCCTCTTTCTTCTCATTCTTGATCCTTTCTAAGAGTTTTGCTTCCTTTCACCATTATATTCAAACATCAGAAATTCATATACTATTAACGAGATCATATTGTTATGAATAGCCATCATCCATGTTCAGGTTAATAGCCTAGTGATGGTAACTCACTACCATAAGTTTATACACATAAGCATACATGGTTACAATTATTGGTTTAATCACAAATTTTAAATAATAAAATATAAATTACAAAAATCATGCAGGCAGTGAATTGTATCACTGCCAAATTTCTGGTTGCCATATTGTATATTAATTAGGCAAAACATTTCTATTGGGGGAAACTGGGTCAAGAATACATGATGCCTCTGTATTTTTTAAAACTGCATGTGAATCTAAAATTACATCAAAATAAAATGTTTTTAAAAAAACTATGCAGGCAGAAAGACATTCATGGGCAAATTTATTTTATGGAAACCATCAAACTGTTATGATGATGGGAAAGGAATGCACTAGGGAAACTACTGCATTTTACTTAGGCAGAATCTACAATGCAGGCCTTTCAGAGGGGACTGGGAAAGTCACAGAGGTAAACAGGTAGACAGCAATCAGGGAAGAGAAAGGTGGTAATAAATATATATAAATTTTAGCACCAAATATAGAAGTGTTTGCAGTATTACTGTGACTATAGACCCACCTTCAATCAGCTGCCACACTCCCAGTCAGCCATCTGCTTTGGGAACTTTTTTTTTTTTTTTTAAATAAGAATTATTTAATCTATGTACCTAGCTGGTCACAGTTTTGGCTTTTAAAGCTAAATGACAAAATGCTGCCCTTGGTTCCATTCCATTCTTTTTTAGTCCCTTCCTTCCCTAGGAATCTGTAAGATCATTGACTTCACCCACGGAAGTGAGGCTTTTGACCCACCGCCTAATAAATAAGTTCACAAGTGAAAAAGCCCATTTTTCATTCTATTTATTACAGGCTTCCGAGACACTCATAATGAAGGGTGTCTTAGGGACAAATAATACTGTAGGCTTGGTTTACTTATCTTCTATTGGCATTGGCACCAAGCCCTTCCTGTGCTTTGAAATTCATGGCTGTGTCTGTGGCTGCATACTAAACAGACGGAGGCCGCCACAGCCTGCTTAGCGTCTAGATGCAGTTTGGCTAATCCATATACGTTAATGGCCAGTTCAGAATGGTAGTTTAGATAACTAACATGGCTGGTTTGTTTCTAGAGCAATATATGTATGCGATCATAAATAAATTAATATATTGTCATATGAATTGGATTCAGTGAACTCTATGGGGCTTGAACTACAACATGCTTGCTCTGAATTCTAGATGACTTGAATTTGCCTATAGACATGTCTGTATAAAATGAGTAAATTGCATATAGAGAATTCATTTAAAATTAAACATACAAGAAACTAACAGTGAAAACTAAATTTACCTTCTACCCTTATTTCCTGACTCTCCCTTTTATCTTTCATATATATTTTTATTTATTTCAGATAGGAAGGGAGAGAGACAGAGAGAGAAACATCAATGATGAGAGGGAATCATGCACATCCCCCACTGGGGATTGAACCAGCAACCCAGGCATGTGCCCTGACTGGGAATAGAACCATGACCTCCTGGTTCATAGATCGATGCTTAACCACTGAGCCACACCAGCCTGGATCAGACTCTCTCTTTTACAATTTAATAGTTTCAAACAGAGATAGTCTATGTATATATGAGTATATATGTTTAAGTTTTATATGCTAAAAAAGTATAGCTATATTTGTTTATTTATTATGTAAAAGGTAGCATGATTGTAGAACACAATGTTCTTCCTTTCATTTATTTTAATTAATTACTCATGGGAGCCTTTGCACAACAGCATCTGTGATCTTCCATTACCTTTTTAAACAGCAGCCTAGTATTCTGTCGAGTGGATATAATTATTTTGTATTTAATCAGTCACATTTTGATGGAGACTGGCTGTTTCCAATATGTTGTTATTAGCAACAATGCTTCAGTGAACATCATTGCTTGTAATATTTGTGCCACTTGCAGTAATATCTGTAAGGCACATCCCTGAAAGGAGAATTCATGGCCAAAGGATATATTCAGTTTTTAGATTAAGAAACATTGTCTAATTGCCTTCTAGTGAGGCTATACGTTTTTTCAACCATGTGTGAGAAGGCTTGCCTCCCACATCTATCTCCTCTCACTATATTATCAATTTTTTAAAGTTGCCAATGTGATTGTACTTGTAAGTTATATTGCTCTAATTGTGAATGTGCTAAGGCATTTGAACATTCTTTCGATCTAACCACTCAGTTGTTCATCATTCCCTAAATAACATCTATTCCACGCTGCTTTGAAATGGCAGTAAAAATAAATCTCTAAGTTTATTATCATTTATTTCTAAGCTATTCTTGTACAATAATCTTATTGTTTATATGCGAACAGTACCAATTTTTATACATTTCTCTACTATTATAATATCTTAATATACAGTAGTTTATGCCTCTTCATTGTTCTTTTTCAAAATTTCCCTAAGTACTTTGGCAAACATTTTTGTTGGCAGCTGTGTTGGAGTTGTTTTATTAAAATAAGCATTGAAATATGACCTGTTTAAAAAATAAGGTGTGATCATTATGAGGCAGGAAAAGCTTTAAGCCCAAGGTTCGGTAAGATCTGGGACTAAAAACGATGTGTAGGAAAAGAAGAGCAAAGAGGACCAACCAAGGGGAGAAAGCTGAGTAAATGTTCCAAGTACAAAAAAACGTTTTACATAAAACCCAGAAATACCCTGGAATAAAACATGCACTTGAATATCATAAGTTCTTTAAGCAGCCAGCCAGTGTTGCAGATCAGCATGTGTCACCCTGGCTTTTAAGGGCTTGACAAACAGTACCAAGGTTCTGACCTTAACCTGAAATTCCTTGAGTTCTCAGTACCTGTGACCACACACCCAACATTCCAACCCACAGCATGCACTTTGCCAGTCACAAGGAGCCATCATTAACGAGTGCTCTGGTAGGAAGCATAATTTATAGAGAAGCTAGCAAGTTCTGAGGAAGAGGGGATTTGTTTAACACGGACAGCAAACCACTATCTTTGAGCAGCTTGTCCTTTTAAGCATGTCGAGATCCAGTCCTTTTAGTTTCACTTCAGTGATCTCCAAAACGGGAACCTGGTGTTTGCCACTATTCCAGGTAACATCTCTCTTTCTGGGAAAAGATTTTCGGAGGTACTCTAAGGACCAGATTGGTTATTGACTTGTTATTTGGGGAAACTTAACTCATACATTTCAAAGATTTCCCTTAAGAAATTGTTACCAGAATTATATTACTACTTATATTTATCTGTCAAATCTACAGGAAACAAAAAGACCCATGCTATTAGTCTTATTTCTACTTTAATTTTATTGCTATTGAAGTAAGAGGATGCAATGTAATCTTTGCTATGCTGTAAAAAAAAAATTTTTTTTTAGAATATTGCAGCAAATTTTTAGAATTTATGTAGCAAAATGCTATGATAGGGTTAATTTAAGACATATTTGTTTACTCTTGCCTGCAACCACACTTGATGCTTGGGAGTTTCAATGTAGACAGAACTGTGGCAGTTTACTTTGTTTCTTCTACTCTAGCATCTCACTGCAGAAATACCTGCCTCTCTGCAAATGTGTTACTTGAATGCAAAGTATCTGAAAGATTTAGTTCTGAAATATATTAAGACTTTGCTCCCATTTCCTGACAATCTGAAGTCTGACAGCTAATGCCTTGGCTGAGAGCTGGTACTGATATGATACTGTGTGCTCATTCCTTGCTAGGGAAGAGCACACCAAAAGATTAGGAAATGACTTCCAAGTGAAATGCTGGCTTTACTTGTTTATCTCTTCAACTGGATCCCAAATGATTTCAACTAGTCATACATAAACTCTCTTTATGGGACAAAATTTGAATGTTCATTTTCTTCTCAGTTAGTATCCAAATCTATTTTTAGCATTCTAGCAAAAGAGAGTACAAGTCATGTTCTGTGCTCATAAATTGTTCATTACCATGCTCTCTGATGGCCAATTCATGTCTCCATCTAAGACTCCACAAATCTCTTTGCCTGGATAAACATGGTGGAGTAAATATAAGGTGCTGACAAAGATGCACTTGAGATCTAAGAAGAAGAAAAATAAGGCATCTCCTGCAAAATTCCTATGTGTATCATTTAAAATTTTTGTAAATACTTACTTGATTTTATATTTCTGAGTTATAGACCAGGAAGTCATACTTCACTAACCTCATCAAGCTATATTTAGGACTATTTATAAAGGACATTTAAAGATGTTTCTATTGTACACAGAAGGAGTCTCAAGTCAAGGGAAAAACAAACAAAACCTTAAAAAAGGAGCACTTTATGCCAAAACCGGTTTGGATCAGTGGATAGAGTGTTGGCCTGTGGTCTGAAAAGTCCCGGGTTTGATTCCTGTCAAGGCCATGTATCATCCCCAGTAGGAGGTGTGTAAGAGGCAGCTGATCGATGTTTCTTTCTCATTGATGTTTCTAACTCTCTATTCCTCTCCCTTCCTTTCTGTAAAAAAGCAATAAAATATATATTTTTTAAAAGAAGTGTCAGAGATGTAAGAAAATTAGTAAAATGTATATGAAAATCTCCCTCCTGTCAGAGTCTGGGGTGCACCACGGGACCTAGAGTCAAGTTCTTCCCCACCACCTGCACGTGCTTCAGAAACACAGGAGACCCAGACCCAGTTGGCCCTACCCACATTGGGTGAGCCCAGAGCTGGCTGGCCCCACCATCATCAAGCCCTGCTGGGCAGGGGGTACGGCCTGAGGTCTCTTGCCCTGGCCAAGTACCAGGCAGCCTCAGGTCCCTGCTGTTCTGGCAGTGATTTTACCTGTCCCGGCTAATTTACATATTCTTCTGTTTATAAAGATAGATAGATACCCAATAATGCTAATGGCATGGACTTCTGTTTTATGTAGAGAACTTGATTTCTGTGTGTGAAAATAATAAAATAATTAACCTCCTCTGACTAGCTAAAATATGAAAACAAAGGAAAAATGCAATGTGCATAAAAGCTAAAAGCAAGCAACATCTGCCTATAGAAAAAAACAAAACAAAATGATTTTTTCATCCATCTATAATTATGTGTAAGATAGAAATCTGGTTTACAATACATATCTCCTGTCACTGCTGAGCTGGAAAATCTACCCAGAGATTGTTGGTTTGTTTTTTTCAATTAAAATTCTGTTTGCCTGACAATAGGCTCTGCTGTGAGCATTACTTACAAAAACAAAATTATAAAAACCCACATTGTCTCAAGGTGCTGTTGTATTAAAGGATTAGACTGATGAGATGTTTGGATCTTATTTGTTTTAAACGTGTGTTTCAGCTGGTGCTCTCCGACCCACCATGTGAAGAAAATGAAATGTAAGTAAATAACAAGAGACGTTTTCAAAATTCAAAGAATAAAAAAAGGAAGAGCTCAAGTTTTAAGAAACCCCAATGAGTTTCAAATGACCATTATAACCATGCAAGAAACAGAAAGGTAAATTGTTTTAAATGCAAATGGCTTGATTTTTCTAAAAGCAGGGAAAAGGTGCACTTCTATTATGGTCAGCTTTGTTAAATAAATAAGGGGCCTAGTTGATGTCTAGGTATTTTTGCTCACAGCATTCTCTACCTCTGAGGTTTCAAGGGTACTTTACATTCATGAAAGACTTATTACATCCTATATGGCTGCATCCATACCCATAAATCACATTGGTGATGGGGGGGGTAGCTTTCTGGATAAATAAGTTTCAAATATAAGCAGACTAATGAAATTTCTAACCTGTATTATGTGTAGCTTTCAAAGTGCAGATATACAGCTGTGGGTGCAAAAAATCTATAACAAAAGCATAATATGCTAATTAGACCAGAAGGCCAAATAGCAGAATGACCATCCAGACAACCTTCTGGACGACCTTCAGGATGAAGCCAGGGCTGTGAGGGCCGAGCCCCTTACACAAATTCCATGCATCAGGCCTCTAGTATATATAATATTTTCCTCCCACCTTCTACATTTTTCTGAAAGGGATAACAATTAAACTAATAGAGACAGATTGATAGGAGAAAATCAGAATTTTAATACAATTCCAATGGGAATTCACATAAGCATGAAAATTCCAAATATAATTGGGCAAAATTGGGTGTAAATGTCATTTTTGTAATGGAGAAAGAAGAGTACTGGATCTTAGATTGCAAAGTGAGACTGGGCCATTTTTGCGTAACTGAGGAATAGTAGAACATACAAGGCAGGTAAGTATTAGCTGGAAAACTCATAAACAATGGGACATAGGGTATCTAGCTAATAGACTTTGACTGAAGCCCTTTTATTTTTCTACTTAATTTAAATTAAACTAAGGTTAACATCCTAAGATCCCCTTTCTTGTGTAGGTCTTTCCATCTGAATCTCTTAGAAAGGGAAAAAGTTAGATTATTTCTGAATCTTTTGTTTTCTAAAAAATAACTTAAAATAAATATCCCAAAGGCAAAAGTTAGGTTCCCTTCATAGTCATGTGTCACTTAATGACTGGGATATATTTTGAGTTCTTAAATTTATCAAAGTATTCAGTTTTTAGTTCATTTTAGGTCCATAGATTATCAGCAGTGAGAACAGTAATAAAGATCAGTTCTTACTTTTGCCAGAGTTTTTTTTTTCTTTTTGGCATCATTATTTTATTTCACCTAGCATATACAAATCTCTAATGAACAACTATATCTTAAAAAATGTAATTTTTACTATACTGAAAATCTTACATCTAAAATTTGAGTAATTGAAATATTGTCACAGTTCAGGTATTTTTTAAATAACACAAAGAATTTCTGTTTAAAAATTGAACTTGAGAAAGACATGAAAATCATGATGTAAGGAAGTACACCAAGTCCAAAGACCCATATTATAGTTTAAGTTTTTGAGCAGCTAATGGCCTCCCCAATTATTTTTCCACTCTGAGTCTCAGTGGTAAAATGTGAGTCTCAGGGGGAAAACAATTACTCCAAAGTTTCCTGTAGTTCCTAAATTACATGATCACTTTGCATTTATTCAGCAAACTGCTTCTAGAACATTTTTTTTATATATCAGAAAATCCATCAGTAGGTTCACAGATTCAGACAGAGAAAGTGAAATAAGTCAGTTTGCAAAACTGTTAGCACTGGAAAAAATATTGAGTGACTAAAAAAATTAAACCTAGAAAATAAAATGTGGTAGTTAAATTTAGAATCTATAATAATGAAAGTGTAATATGCAAATCGACCGAATGGCCAAACAGTGGAACAATATCTGAAGACCACTCTATGACACCCATGGTGCCATTCCAGCCAAGGCAGGTGCGATGTGATTAGTGGGAGCCTGGCTATCTCCCCATGACCACCTTGAAGAGGGAGGCCCAGGCCATTAGCTAATGGGGTGATTGATCAATTGGGGAGCTCCAAAGAGGGTGGCCCAGACCACCAACCAGCGGGCTGCAGTGGGTGGGTGGTGCCTCTCTGTGGGGGCAATCTATCAAGGATCCCTGGCTGGGTGGGCAGGTCCTACCTCTTTGGGGTGTTCAGTCACAGGGCTCCTGGACTGTGAGAGGGTACAACTGGGCTGAGGGTCCCTTCTTTCCCCCCAGTGCACAAATTTCATGCACCAGGCCTCTAGTTGACAGTATAAGTGTATAGTTTATTTTTAAATCTAAAAAAAAAGGCAGAAATTTATATATAGAGGGAAATTAAGCAATCCACATTCCTGATCATGAGCTTAGATTTCAAGACTCAAAAATGAGAACTTTATGTTACTTTTTTGGGCTAAATTGCCAAGAAAAGTTTCCTACATTCATCTCTAAAGTAGGATACTACATTTTAAAATTTTATATATTTTAATGTAATATTTAAAATTTGTATGACTACAAAAGTGATGTATGTACATTATAAAAATTTAACCAATATAAAAATATTGAAAAGATAAAGTGCCTCATGACACCATCTTCAAGAGAAGCAAACATTGTTAGTAATTTGATGTATGTGTATACATAACTATATAATATTTATTTGTGAAATCATTATATTTGTATTAAAAATGTATTCAAAGAAGAAATGAGTGCTCTTTATTATTTTATTTATCAAGGCTTTAAACCACATGTGTCAAACACAAGGCCCGCGGGCCAAATCCGTCCCGCCAGGCCTTGCAATGTGGCCCGCACCGCGCTGTCATCACTGCACTCCGCTGTGTTTCCATCACAATGACAGTTTATGACTGTTCAGTAAACCATTCGGCCCGCGATTTAGGCTGGATTTTAGATTTTGGCCCCTTCTCTGATTGAGTTCGACACCCCTACTTTAAACTATAAATATAGATCTGCATTTTTGATGAATATATAATATTTCTTTAAAAGATAGTACCATTAATTATTTTTAAAATCTTCTATTGATGATCACTTGTCTTAGGATGCTTTTTGTAAAGTTATACTTCAGCTGTCATTTATCCCAGCCATCTGTACTTGTGTATTTGGCTAAATTTTCTAGGTGCAAAAGAAACAAACACCCCCAAAACTTATTCTCTGGGTGAATGGGTTTTGTCTTAAATATTTGGGGTAAAATTTTTAAGTTGACACTCACATATGTTAAAAAGTCATTTTTGAAGAGTAATGTGATAAACAGGATACACATTCTCCTTAGGGAGGCTATGAACAATAAATTAGCTGACATTTATGAAAGCTTTCAAGCTGAAAAATGCCGAGTGTTATTTTAACAAAGGCTAAAGAAAACGTGATTAAGTGCAGCACCATCTCAGAAGCTTATCGGGCTGTGATGAACAGCCTTCAACTCTTTAATTCCAGAATACTGTAACAGCAGCCCATTTACCGAGGTTGAAAAATGTCCTTTAGCAAACATATATTCAAAGCACTATGTGTGTCATAGCAAGGGACTCTGGAATGAACAGCATGTGTCTAAACCTGGGGAGTTATATGTTCTAAAAATCACACTGTGAACCAAAGTGTAATCTTTTTCTGTGTGATCTTTTAAAACTTATCTTAAGAACAATTAAGTTGTGCTGAAGCACAAAAATGGTTTAACTATCCTGACTAACAAATCAACTTCTAACTCTTTAGTAAATGGTGTGTATGGCCACACTCATCCATTTTCCTTTTATCCTAATTTATTTTTTTTAACCAGGATTGCAGGGCTGCTATTCCCTACCAAGACATCCAAGGTTAATAGGCATTATGACCTTCCATGGATAATTTGCATTTTAAAGAACTCCAGGTCTTTGAATAAACAGAATGGTGAAGTGGTTATACCTACCATTCAGTCTACCATATGGTAGTCCTGAAAAGTTAGTCACTCTTTTCTCAATGTACTACAGTATTTTTAACTCTGGCATCAAACCTACTATTATGCAATTATCTGTTTTTAAATATCTGATAGTTTCCATTTACATGTATCCTCAGTGCCTTGAATGATGTGAACATATGGGAAACATTTACCAGTTGTGTTGGGGGGCTTACAGTGAGTAAATTATTGTTGGAGAATTAGGTATAGTCAGAACAAATATTGTGGTGCAAAAGAATAGGTTTTCGGCACTTAGAGGTCCAACACTAATTGTTCTTTCTTTGTTACCAGGTACATAAACTATAAAAACCAATACCCGAATGATTGGTATATCTGGTAAGGACATCTTCATATATATATATATATATATATATATATATATATATATATATATATATATAAATATATATAAATAAATATATATATATATATATATATATATATATATATATATATATATAAGCCTAAGCGACCATTATGATTGAATGACCAGAATGACCAGAATGACTGGTCAACCAGTTGCTATGATGTGCACTGACCACCAGGGGGCAGACACTCAATGCAAGAGTTACCCCCTGGTGGTTAGTGTGCTCCCACAGCCAACCTCCCATGGCCCCTACCCTTGGTCAACTTGCACCCCCTGGCAGGACAGCCAACCTCCCAGGGTCTCTTCCTTTGGCTGGCCAGCCTCTTGATAGATCTTGGTCACCAGCCAAGCCAAGAGACCCTACCCATGCATAAATTCATAAACCAGACCTCTAGTTGTTTTATAAAAGTCTTTGGTGGTATATACATACTCCTTTACTAAATAACTGATATGGCACATGAAATGATACATATTAAGAAAATAATGGAGGTCATGTGAATCAATATATGTAGAAACATTACTTTCAGGTTGTTGTTCAGTGTTTACTTAAGTGTTTTCTATAAAAGGGAACTTACTCTTTCTAAGAATAATAATAATTTACTCTCTGGTTGAAAATCTTTAAAGGTAAAATTATTCTTCCTTCTATTGATATCTTCTGAAATGCCTTTCACTGATTTTAGTTCTGGTCTCAAAAGTCATTCAAAATAAGACTGCTGCCTCTTTTATGAGCTAGACTTTTGGAAATTTTGAAAGTTATTATACCCTCCTAAATGTTGACTTTAGTGTTTTCCAAATTAAACATTACCAACTTTCTCATTTAGATAGCTTCTCAAAAAACAGAGATCATGTCTTATCTTCTCCACTTTTTCTTACTGATTTCAGAGAGGAAGGGAAAGGGAGAGAGAGATAGAAATATCAATGATGATAGAGAATCATTGATCGGCTGCCTCCGACAAGCCCCCCAACTGGGGATAGAGCCCACAACCTAGGCATGTGCCCAGACTGGGGATCTGAACTGTGATCTCCTGGTTCATAGGTCAACACTTACTTAGCCAAGGTGTGGGGAGGGGTTGCTTAAGGAATTCAGCTTCTCACACTGCTTGCAGCCAGTTTTGCTGAGTTCTTGCCCCCTTTTCAGAGAGTAATAGAACTCTTAAGTTTCCTGTGTGCTCCACCTCAATCCTCTTTTGATTCTTCTGGCTCCAGGTTCTTGCTCCTCATTTTCCTGGTGGTTCTGCTCTGTGGAGCAGTGCTCTTCTGCCTTCCCTGCTGGCTGAGGAGATGCGGCATCGGTTCCTCAAATCGCACCGTGGCTGTTTTTGCTGTCGGCGACTTGGACCCTGTTTATGGTAGGTTCTCTCACTTTGATGGGCTTGCTCTTTGAAACCTTATGGTTTTGTGTTGAATTAGAAATCTAATCTCTGAAAATCAAATTTGTCAACTTACAACAAGACAGTTTATAGAAGATTGAAAGGCATGCATTGGGGAGAGAGCCTAAGTGAGAAAATTTCAGAAGAAAGGAAACCCCAATAGAAAAACAAACAAACAAACAAACAAAAAAAACACACACAAAAACACATGTCTTAGGAAAATGATTTATAGTTGAGTATGGGGATAGAACCTAACTATTTTGCTCAGTTGACATGAGTAAAAGAGAAACTATACAAGGTTGGTCACTTCAAGTACGTGTCGGATTTAAGGTACAGAGAAGTATTTCTGAGTTTTTTCGTATCAGTTGGAAAAACTGAAGTTCATAAGTCTAATTTACTAAACTCTCTAAGCCTCACTTACCTACAGTAACATTGAACCATATTTTTCAGATTGCTGCCAATGCAGAATCTGAAAATATGGAATTGGCAGGGAAGTATAAATACTCATATTTTTTTCTCGCAGACACATTGGCAGCATCCTGATCCTGCCTTGTCCCACCCTTGCTCCTCAAACCACACCCTTCCTATTATTTTCCAGTTTTCAGTAGGAGGTAAGGAATGGAGGAGATTTAGGTTGTACAGTCATTGTTAATTCCAGGCCTAGTCCTCATCCAGAACATTTGTTCTGAGATTTTCCCTCTAAGTCACTGCACTATACACCACAATTGCCTCAAGAGTGCTTAGTAGAGATTGACAATTGCACTTCAGAAACTTGGGCCAGATAAATTTCCCATAGAGAGTGCCAGGCATGTCCTGAAAAAACTAAAAGCTAAATAAAAGTTGGAATATAAATAAACTAAAATGTTTAATATAAAAATTTGATATTCAATGATTGTACTCACTATTTAGTGATTGTATTCACTATTGACTTTTTTTAAAGTAATTATTTACCAAGGGAAACTGTCAATTTGAGAAATGGGTGTTTGGAGAAATAATTAAAATCTCCAATAAAAATAGTTATTTCTCCTAAACTTAAAACTACTGTCCTCTGAACACAGAAGAAAATAGGGTCACTGACCTTTTAACAAACTACATGAATCAAAGGGGTCAACATGTTCACTTTGATCTTATTTCCTTTATTTAATTGGAGCTAGTCAACAACAACAAAAAATGCAGTTATATTTCTTTCCAATTTACTTGAGTTTCTAAAGAGGAGAATTCCCCCTGGTCATCTTAGTCCTACTGTCCTACTGTTACTTCAAGGAAGAGTTTTCTAGACTTCCTGAATCTTAAAAAATAATAATAATAATAAAATATATATATACTTAAGTTTGAGTAAGTAACCCATTTTAATATTACAATTTTAAGGCAATCTATGTGCCATGGTTATACGCCAATTTATCTAATATTTTCATATTTCCTGAATGGTGATTCATATGTGTGCTTTTGAATTTACCTGAACTTGTCTGAGCAGGTATGACTGAGAGAAGGAATCAAGGCTGATATGCTTCTTCAGAAATCTGAATATAATAGCACTGAGTGCAGGGCATTCGTATCACATTCTCTATATTATCCTGAGGTCATTATAGACAGGAAATAAAATATTTGGGGGAAATTGTGTTGTTTTTTTTTTTTTTTTAATAACATAGTCCCAATTTAATCCACATCTGCCAAGTGTTAGGCATTAGGTCAAGGACTTCTCAGACATTATCTCTAGTTCTTAAAACCAGCTTGGGAAAAAGGCTATTACTTCTCTTAGAGGATGTTATCTACTTTCCTCACCCTATTGAATAAATGCACCACATAGATCTTTGCTGTAAGTCAACTAATAGACTTTATGTTGTCAGAGTTAAGGTTAGGAAGTTAAACAAAATATGGGCAGTCACTCATGGTTTATCCACCTACATAAAGTACAGCCTATATCTTGAACCTCCAGATGTTTCTGTATTGCAATTCTTTAATGATAGAGATTGCTCTCTGGAGTCCTCATTCCCTTCCTTATTCTCTCCATTCCTCATTAATTCCACTCGTATAGCTCTGCATCTTACTTTGACCAAGGAACAATTAAATTCTCCTCAGCTTAAGCTGCATTACAAAGTTCAGTTTCACTGATTTCCATCGTAGGAGACCACAGGTTCAGTTGCCCCTCTCTATTAATTATTTCCTTCACCTACACTGGGTTGGGTGTTAGGCTGTTCAGTCCATCTCCCATCTCCCATCCTGTCCCCTGGATGCTCAGCAGGGCTGTACAGGCCATGAACAGTCATTCCCTTAGCCTTTGATGTGGATATTCCTAGAGTTGTGCTTCTTGGTCTTTTGGTTCTCCTTTCTAAAACAAAACATAAAAGAATAATTTAGGAAGTGGTATTCTCTGTGATCTCTAGTCACTTCTTCTTATGTAACAATTTTCAGAAGTAAATTCCAGGGAGTCAAAATTTTAAGGTAGTCTGAAACCCAGACTCACACTGGATTTCCTTTCCCCACTGTATCCTCACTATGCTTTCACTTCTCCAAACAAACGATTCTTCCTACCTAGTATTTCCACAGAAGGAGCTGTTTTCCAAAAGGGAAGTGAAGGAACCGCTACCAGGATCTTTGTGTGGTTAAAGAGGGAGGAAAGGTCCCAAACCACAGCCTCTTCCTCCACAACCCACACAGGCTATGTGCTCACAGCCTGGAGCTGAGTGTGGTTACTGTAGGTTTTATGTGCTCACTTTGTAGGATTTGGGGTGCACTTCTGAGCCTTCCTCATAGCCTCTGTTCAGAATTGGGGTGAAATGAGAAGTCATTGGAGGACTCTAGTGACTGGTTAGAATATAAAATAAGGGTGTCTGGACTTCCTGTCACCCCTGGAGCACAAAAGGAATGATAGATTGTTCCCTCTGAATACAGAATGTGGGTCATTTAAAACATCTTAATGGAGAGACTAGATTTGCTATATTAACCTTGCATTCCGCCTAGACCTTTATTTTATTTTCCAGAACTCATTTCATGTTATTAGCACTATTTGCTGAATATATTAGTTGAAAGAGCTCTGCTCTTCTGACTTGTGTTTGAGAGGTTTGACTCTCAGGATCCCATGGAAGTTGCCTCAATTGAATAGAGCCAAGAGGATAATTTTGACTGATTATCAGAGGCTGGAGTGGACTGAACTTTACTGATTTAAGTACATAAAATAGGAATGTTCTCTCACTAGCAGTTCCTGACAATATTACATGGCTCATGTTGCCAATTATCTTGATTAGAAATATTAAAGCGAGAAAGGAAAATACTTGGTTTGGGAGCCTCATCAAAGGTGTTTGAGGAAGGTCTTACTGCCTAGCCCATCTGAATGTCTGGTGAGGTTTTTGTCTGGGAAAGGTCTTTGGAAATATCAGCAAACACCCTGTCCCAATAGCTTCTCCTGGGCCAATAATCACATATTTTCACAGTTCTCTGCTGATCCGGTGCTCAGATCTTTCAGTTTTTCTTCCCCTCTCATAGGCTCTATGTTTCCAATTCTGTAATATGTAATGAATAAGCTCTTTAAGCCCCAATAAGAGAAAATTAATCTGTCTGATACCCAAGGATAAGAATAAAACAGAGGCATTGTTAGAGAAAGAAGGGGAAGAGAAAGACCACAAGGAAGAGGAGAAGAGAAAGATGAAAATTAAGAGGGAAAGGAACCTACAGTTTGAAACTGAAGATTTTTTAAGGACTGACATTAAAACCTACTTATTTTATGTAATTCCTAAAATCATGTGATTTTGCTCTGCTTTCATGCCCAACTCTTCTTCCTGCGGTGGCCCCAGGATCTCCTAGATAGACCCTTTCCCCCTATTATCCTTCCTCCATCCCCATCTCCTCTGATCCTGTTTTCTATTCCCACTCTTTTATAATCTCAGAAAGGACCCATTCACTGCCCTTATGTCTTCTTGAATGGGATAATCCATGCAGTCATCTCTGAGTCCTTCTTGCTCTCCTTTTTCAACCAGCAGAGACTAACATTTCAAGTATAATTCAGGTTTGTGGTTTTTAGCACCTGTGTCAGCAGTAAGAATAATGTAGTGTTTCACTGTTGTTTTTAATCTTATTATTTTACTATGTTAATGAAGCTTCTAGAATCCCTTCTTTCTGATAATTCAACAGAATTCACAGATTTACAACCCGTTGTTTCCCCACACCCCTCCTCAAATGTGTAAATTGAGAGTAAGAATACATATTGGGCCACAGAAATTGATTTTTTTAAAGGAATGTATCAATTATTTAGTAAAGGTGGAGATACAAGAAAAGAAAGTAAAAATTCTCACACGCCCCTTTGAATCATTTGTGATCAATAGTCCCCACTTTGTAATTCCTTGGACTATATAACAAGGAGAATAGGTAGATATACACCAAAGTGGGGGAAAAAAATACAAAAATGTTTTGGGTTTCTTAGATTAGCTGTTTTATTTATTTGTTAAATTCATGTTTCAAAAAATAAGTAATGACAAGAGAGTCATTAAAAGGAGTTTTGAAGTTTATTATAAACAAGTGTTTTTATAATTCACTGAAAATGTGAATAATAATATGTTTCCAATTTAAATAAGGTTATGAAGCTGCATAAAAACCCTTATTTATAAAGAAATGCTGCCACTGGCTGGGTATATGAGTGTGTGGGTGGGGGTGCCCTCCAATGTTTGTGGAGTTCTGGGGGCACAGCTGAAATAAGTACTTTTAGAGGCCCTCATGAAACGATAAGAGGTGGAAGAAGATTTTAGTCGTGTAAATTGAGAGTGAGAATACATATTGGTATGCAATATCCCTATCCCTGAAGCCAGTCCTGAAAGAGAGGTAGCTGGAGGTTAGCAGAACCAGAAGGAGGCCAGTGCCCTAATTTTCTGTTCCATGTTGCAGACAGGTGTGGATCAGCATTCAGGCCAGATTAAATTTAGTTCATGTGAAAGTCCAACATGCATGGCTAGGCAGCACCCTGTGGGCACAAGGTAGCACAACGCCTT